TAGTGTCCCAGAGTCCATAAAACCATCTGTTTTTCTGTTTCATTGGCCTGGTGGTAATTGGATGTCTTTCCCTTGGGCTTGGCTGAAGCTCTGTTCATGACCAGACCCAGGGGCCACATCTGAGAACAGGGTCATGGACGTGATTCTAGAACATAAAAAGGATGGTTCTGGGGGGTCACAGAGATAATAAGTCCATGGGAGAGCGACATGCTTAATACCCTTTTCCACACTGGAAGTGTTCAAATACATTCTGCACTGCTTTGACCTTCCTGTCTGGGACCAAAGTGTGGGATCCATAGCCAGATATTCTAGGACAATCTGTGGGTACTTTTGATCATCCAACACTCCAGTTGGATACCAGAGTTGAGACCCTTGCAAATGAAAACCCTACATCCTACAATTAATTCTGGCATCCCCATATCTTGAATGTCTTAAATATTCTTGAGTGTGCCTCTTTGCCGAAATTACACCTTCCGTACAGCTCTCACACCTGGCTCCTTCTCTTTAACCTAACTGCCACAATAGCTAGAATTGTCCCTCCATCTCCCTCCTAGATCATCACTCTCTATCCATGTCATCATCCTGTTTTATCTTCTTCATAGACATTATCACTGGTTAATATTTAGGGTTCATTTTCTGTCTCTCTTCCCAGCAGGTGAAATCCACAAAGGTAGCATCCTGGTCAATTTTGGCCACAGAGGTCTCCCCAGCACCTAGAACAATGCCCGGCACAGTTAATATTCATTGAATGAAGGAAGGAATCTCATGCTTTGATCCCAGCTTCCAGGGTCATTTAGTTTTTGAAGATTAGACTGTGGAGACCGTTCGCATCAGCAGTGATCCACATTTTGGTTTGGGGGCAGCCACAAGTTGGTGGGAGAGCACCAGTTAAGGGACAGAGATGGATGGATGTGGGTTTTAGGAAGGAATGAGGCGCTCCTGCATTTATTTCCCCGCTGGGAGTTCTTCTATAAATTCTCCAGCTCAACCTAGATCGTGGGAGAGCACCAGTTAAGGGACAGAGATGGATGGATGTGGGTTTTAGGAAGGAATGAGGCTCTCCTGCATTTATTTCCCCGCTGGGAGTTCTTCTATAAATTCTCCAGCTCAACGTAGATTAGGCTGAGGTTGGGTAAATCTGTTTACTCAAAGTCCTTATCATTTTGCTCTATGCTTAATCTGTAGCACCCAGTGCACTGTGGGTTCTGAAGCCTCCTGATACTTCTGTGGAGGGAGTTCAAAAGGAGAGCATTGCGCTTGCCTCTGATGGACAGGTTCCAGTTCCAAGAGGAGCTGAGAGATGATGTGTGTTCACCTGCCTGGATGGAACCAGGACTGGAGTATAGACCAGGGAAGGCCAAAAGCAGCTCATAGGTTTTTGTAAATAAAGTTTTATTGGAACATAGCCATGTCCATTTGTTATGAATTGTTTATGACTTCTTGGATGCTATGAAGGCAGAGTTGAGCATCTGTGACAGAGAGTGTATCCTTGGGCAGAACTTCAATTTTAGCATCTAGTAGTAAGCAACATTCTGAGGAGATTGCCTATGAATGGAACTATTGTTCTGTTGTTATTAGGCTTTGGGGATATTATTCTTGTCTCTTGGAGTGGCCTTTCCTGTTGAGACCTATTCCAAAAATACTCAATCCTTCTTTGGCCAGTGGTGACGTCCTCTCTTATTATGCTGCCTGAAGACCTAACTTGAGTGCTTGGCTGATTGGGATGTCACTCACAGGATCAAGTCATGTGGCAGGGACAGAACAGAACTGGAAGGAGAAGGAGCTGGCCAAACCCTTACATGATCAAAGAACAGGAAGAGCAGGCATTTGGAATGTGATCAAGATATAGATCAGTTCTGGCAGAATTCCAGCCGTGGCCACTGCTTTCCCCAGTGGGGCCATCTAGGGTCCCTGTGGCTCTGTTTCTTGGTGACAGGTGCAGAGTCCAGTGGATGTGAGTGGTGTGCTTGCCTGTATGGCTGCAGCTCGTGCAGAGGCTGTTCTCTACTGCCCTGCCTTACCCCTCCCCAATTCCCCCCACCACCTCACCTCGTGCTGTCTGAGTTTCTTGCTTCTCTGGGGAGGCTGGTTTTATGTTTGTTGTGCACATTGCATTTCTGTGACTATTAGTGTCTCCCCATCTGGCTGATCATTACTTAGGGATGTTTTGCATTTTGCTTTAGTTACAATTGGCTGGAAACTGCTGGGGTAGGATGTTTGAATGGTGTCGTGTTACAGTTTATCTCTTGCTTCACTATAAAGACAGGCTCTGAAATGACTCCAAGGGACCAGGGTCATTTAGCAAAGTTTTCAGTGGAACAATAGTTGGTAGTTTATCTTTATTTAATTAGTTGTTTTAGCTGCTTTCCAAACCCATAACTGCTAAAAGGTGGCCTTTAGGAGAGAATTCTGCTTACTGCTCTTAAAATGGAAGTGCATTTTATGTGTTTTTTTCTCTCCTCCTTCTCCCCCTCCTCATCCTCTTTCTGTTCCTTTTTCTTTTCCTCCTCCTTCTCCCAAACCCAAACATAAAAAGATCAGTGGCAACTAACCCTGGACTACCTCTATGTGAAGTAAGGAAACTGAATTACTTATCTACAAAATGTACAAATGAAAAAATGGGCTTGTTATTGTATCAGGGTCTCACTAGAAGCAGAAGCCACTTTGTAGTTAGAACAGAGCAACTTTAAATGCAAGGGCTTAAGTACACAGAATATAAAACGGATGAGAAGCTAAATGTAGAATAAAAGAGACTGGAGCAACCCCGGAAGGAGCAGGAATCTGTTCCCACCCCAGGGGACTGGAGGGAGGAGGAAGTGTTATCAGAACCCAGGGTCTTTCTTTCCTTCCTTCTTTCTCTCTTAGCTCCCACATATGAGTGAGCACATGCAGTATTTATCCCTCTGTGTTTTGCTTGTTTCACTCAACATAAGTTTCTCCAAGCTTATCCACGGTGTTGCTAATGGGAGAATTTCATTCTTTTTTATGGCAGAGTATTCCATGGTGTATATACACCACAGTTTCCTTATCCAATTGTCCATTGATGCACATTTAGATTGGTTCCATATCTTGGCTGTTGTAAACAGAGCTGTGATGAACACGGGAGTGCAGGTATCCCTTTGACATGATGATTTCCATTCCTCTGGGTATATACCCAGCAGTGGGATTGCTGGGTCATGTGGAAGATCAACCTGTAGTTGTTTGAGAAACCTCCATACTGCAAATCTTGGGCACAAATAGTGACAATCAGCTTTGTATCTCATGAATATTCATAACCAATTAAAAAGTGTACTATGCAAAAAAAATTTATTTAAAGCAAAACAATAATTTAATGATCTTATCACAAAGAAATGATATGTTTTTGTGATAATGGATATGCTAATTACTCTGATTTATTCATCACAGATTGTATACATGTATTAAAATATAACTCTGTGCCCCATAAATATGTACAATTATTAGCTGTCAGTTAAAAATTTAAAAAGAAAACAAAAACAAAAACAAAAAGAAAGAAAGAAAGAAACAAACAAAAGAACAAGAACCCAGAGCCTGGGGTCATTGCTGAAGCTAGAACCATCATCAACCAGTCTGGGAGGGGGGTGAGGAATTATCCTGGCTCCTGCCTCCTTCCTCCTGCCATCTCCTGTTGGCTAAGGTGGAAGCTTAAGAAACACTGTCTTTAGAGATCAGCACTGCTGAGACCCAGAACTGATCAGGAGAAGGCTGGGGAATGCATCTGAGGCTAGATGGGCTCAGCCAATGCTGTTATTTTGCTGGTTTTATTGCACAATGTGATTCGGATGAACCCAGCGGGACCTATTTCTCAGAAGCTTGTGTATTCAGAACATGGCCATGCCAAGTCTTGTTCCTGCTTAGGTCTTCTCATGGTTCCCCCAGCCCAGAACGCTCCCCTGTTCCTGATTTCTTGTTGCTTTTCACTTTAAAGGTCAACTCTTGCAGAGGCCTCTCCT